GACATGAGAATCAAGTTTGAGATCAACGACTGGGACCTCAACAACGAGTTCAACCCATCGCGAGCTTTTCAACGCACCAAACGGTCCAAAGATTACGATACTTATGGTGAGTACGAGTGCTCTTTGATTGTCTCAATCAGTGGTATAATGAATGGATCTGTTGTTTGACAACACTTTAGGTGTTTTTGCGGAGGACGACAATGAAGAGCAGATGGACACCACTGTCAATGAGAAGTCATTCAAAAAGAAGACAATTAACTTCATTAGCGGTGGTATTAAAGGGGAATCCGATGCGACTAAAGCCGAAGACAGTGACGAGAGAGCCGAGGGTTTTGTGTCCACCAAAAGAAGCACAACATCTGGTCGAGAGACCAATTGGAAGAGTCGGAAGAATAGGAGCGAAGTGTTTGCGGGGATGCGAAGGGCCGGCACTTATGGGACGGACGAGGAGTTCGGTCAGTGGGAGTCCTACACGAAAGGGATCGGCGCTAAGTTGCTGTCGAAGATGGGCTACGAACCGGGCAAAGGTTTGGGCAAAAATCTTCAGGGAATCACTGCTCCCATCGAAGCCAAGAAGAGGCCCGGCTTTGGAGCCATCGGTCGGTACGGATCCGAAAGCGCGCGCAAAGGCATCGATATCGAGGAGGCGCTCGAAGACAAGCAAACACTGAAATTGAAGAGTGAAAGAAGTGAAAGACTTAAAGCGGATAAAGGCGTCAAAAGAATTATTAAATCCGTCGATCAGATGATAACAGAGCAGATCACCAGACCATTGGATGACAGCGAAACCAATTCGATGAAAGTGATTGACATGACTGGACCCGAACAGCGCATTCTCGCCGGTTATCACGAAATCGGAAGTAAGGGTTTTGGTAGACATGAAGACGAGGACGAGGATGAAGAGCGCAATGATCTGATGGACACCACAGAGAATGAGATCCGAGAGTTGACTAATAAAATAAGGAGAGAATCGAATCGCTTGCAGACCATTGAGGAAGAGATAAGTCGATTGGAAGCCGAAAACAGAGAGAAAGACAATCGGATCAGTAATTATGAGACAATTTTGAATCAAATGTTGGATTTGAGTAAAAAACAGTCCGAAAAGGAGTTGACAATCGATGAAATGCTTGAAAGTTATGATGGAATCAGAAGTGAATTTCCCGAAGAATTCTATTCCCTTCGATACTATGAAGCGCTGATTCCAATGGCTTTTCCACTCATTCGATGCATTCTTCACGATTGGAATCCATTAAAAGATTGCGAATCAATGAAAGAGTTATTCATAAAATTGAAGACAATTATCGGCAGCGGTGATGACGGCATATATGAGATGATTGTGTGGGACGTATGGATGCCTGTCGTGAGGAGACATATCTGTTCATGGCCTTCCATTAGACAATGCGATGAAGTTATTGCTTTGTTGGAGTCGTGGCGACCACTTCTGCCTCATTGGCTCTTCGATAATATCATCGAACAAATCATTTTACCTCTTCTTCAAAAGGAAATAGAAGAATGGAATCCACTCACAGATACCGTTCCCATACATTCGTGGTTACATCCATGGCTTCCTCTGCTGGTGGACCGATCACTGGAACACTTGTATGACCCGATCCGCCACAAGTTGTCCAACGCCTTAACCAATTGGCATCCAAGCGATGGGTCGGCAAAACTGATATTAGAGCCGTGGAAAGGGGTGTTCAGTGCCGGTGCGATGGAAGCCTTTCTTAATATAAACATCGTTCCGAAGTTGGAGATAGCGTTGCAATCACTGATCATTAATCCACACCAACAATGTCTGGATGTGTGGCATTGGGTGATGTCTTGGCAGGAGATGCTGTCCACTACAGTGATGGCATCCATGTTGGAAAAGAACTTCTTCCCGCGTTGGCTCAATGTCTTATATAATTGGCTCTCAAATGGATCCAATTTGGATGAAGTGAGCAAATGGTATTCCGGTTGGAAATCAATGCTATCGTCACCACTTCTGGACCACCCGTCCATTAAAGACGGTCTGAAACGAGCGCTCGATATAATGAGTGCCTTCTCTTCTAACAGCAACGTTCCCGTCCAACCCTTCCATGCATTCTATGCCCCCATTCGACCGCAACACATGACTCCCAACGCCTCGGTTTCAGCCAAAGACACCATTTCCGAGGTTTCCATTAATTTTAAGCAATTAGTCGAACGCCGAGCAGAAGAGAAGGGAATCCTATTTATTCCGATTGCAAACCGTTTCCATGAGGGGAAGCAAGTGTTCAAATTAGGCAAACAATTGGTTCACATCGACAGACAGGTGTTATTCACACTAAACAACAACAAATGGACCCCAACTTCATTGCAAGCACTCATTGATTCTGAGAGTTAACTCATGACTTAATTGTAACTTTTAATTAAATCACTGTTTATTCAATACTATTATAAATACAATAATTTAAAATATTATAAAGTTTTTATATACTGTAATATATTTAGTGTAAAAATATAGACAAATCCGATGTATGTGTTGTGGTGTGGAGTGTGGGCTCTACTCGCGCCTCAAGTTGTCGAGTCTGGCCTGAAGGTCGGCGTCGGCATCGGTCACGGCTACCGGTGTCTTAGCAGCCGTTGCCGACGGGTTCAAAGAGCCCACGGCTTGTGGCAAATCCCCGAGTTGTTGGTTAAGCTGAACGCCCAACTCATCCAACACTTGGGTGACGATCGCATCGCTCTCCTCCTCGTCCTCTTCATCGCCCATCACGTCGTCGATGGCGTCGTTCATCATCTCCTCCTTCATGTCCATTATCTCGGACTGTCGCTCGAAGTCAGCCATAATCCTCTGGATTTGTGGCAAATTCATCTGTTTGTTCATCGACTGGAGCGCTCGAGTCACTCCTTTCATAGCCATCGCCATCGCGTTCTGCGACCGCAATGTCTGCACTTTGAGGCTCACGGCCTGTATGTTGGCCTTCATTAGGATAAACTTCTTGACGTAACGGCGCGTTCGCACCAAATCCTTGGCCATTATCTTCACGGCGTCCATCTGGTTGTCTTTCGCCATCTTCTTGATGTCTGCGATCAGCTTCTTCTCCTGCGCTTCCATTTTACTCCTCTCTCTCTCCAAATCACGGATCGCTTTATTCAGAGCCCTCTGGTTCTGTCGCAACAGCTCCTCCGGAGTCTTCTTCTTACCGAATAACCACTCCATTGTCACAACTGATCCAATGGTCCACAGGTATCACCGCACAGTCACTCACTCGGGAGAGGGCTATGTGTTCAGCAAATTAAGACCAATTCAGTGACCAATTCAGTGACAAACCACTCATTGACTGATTGTTTCAAACAATTCACACAAATGTCAACACATTTCACGGATTGACAGCAATATTGAGTCCATGAATGACGTCCGCTATAGTTGTCAAGTGCTTGGAGTTGAGGCAGTGATGCAGTGAACCAAAGCCACAGCCAATGAATGAGTGCTGGAATGTGAGTCGCATTGAGTGACCAATGAGAGAGAGCGCACTCTCCGCAGTCACTCAACCATTGGTGCAATTGATTTGTGTTTGAATGAGTCATTCACTCACAGCCTATATAAGTGTTGGCAACGCATAGACTGGCAGTTAGTCTGTTGTTAAGCTATTCATTGTTAACGGCTTTGCAATTGATTTCCGCAATTGATCTCTAATTCAATTCAATTCAATTCAATTGATCACTAATTAAGCGCTAATTATCTCAACCAACTGTAAGTATCTATGATTTACTCATTAAATTGTTATACAATAAGTGGTAATGAGTGGATGAGTGGATCTAATGATGATGTGTGTATCGCGCCAAAAGGGTGCGGTCGACACACAAGCCTTTGTCACCATTCACTCAATGAATGACTGATTTACTGATTGTGTGACTGATCGGGGTATTGATTGGGGTATTGCAGACAATGCGTGAATGCATATCGATACACGTGGGTCAGGCGGGCGTGCAGATGGGCAACGCGTGTTGGGAACTGTATTGTCTGGAGCACGGCATACAACCCGACGGACAGATGCCGAGCGATAAGACCATCGGTGGCGGCGATGACTCGTTCAACACGTTCTTCTCAGAGACGGGTGCGGGCAAACACGTGCCGCGCGCCGTATACGTGGATCTCGAGCCCACGGTCGTCGATGAGGTGCGCACCGGCACCTACAGGCAGCTCTTCCATCCGGAACAGCTCATCACCGGCAAGGAGGACGCGGCCAACAACTACGCGCGCGGACACTACACCATTGGCAAAGAGATCGTGGATGTGGTTCTCGACCGCATCCGCAAACTGGCCGATCAGTGCACTGGTCTCCAGGGTTTCCTCATTTTCCACAGCTTTGGCGGCGGAACCGGATCTGGATTTACATCGCTTTTGATGGAACGCCTGTCCGTCGATTACGGCAAGAAATCTAAGCTCGAGTTCGCTATCTATCCGGCGCCTCAGGTGTCGACCGCAGTGGTGGAGCCCTACAACTCGATCCTCACCACTCATACCACTCTCGAGCACAGCGACTGTGCCTTTATGGTCGACAACGAAGCCATTTATGACATCTGTCGCCGAAACCTCGACATCGAGCGCCCGACCTATACTAACCTCAATCGCCTCATCGGACAAATCGTGTCCAGCATTACGGCTTCCCTTCGCTTCGATGGCGCCCTTAATGTCGATTTGACTGAATTCCAGACCAATTTGGTTCCCTATCCGCGCATTCACTTCCCACTCGTCACTTA